ATCCAGCTAAGGTTGGAATTCTCTCAGAACAATAGATTTGTCTTTGCAGATTTTGATGATGCAAAGTGATTTTTACAACCAAAACCAGACCTGGTGCTGAATGTATTGATTTTAGGACCAGAAGGAATCATTGTAATAATCTAGTCTGATCTTCTGCATAACATAAGCCTAAGATTCTCACACAGTGATCTCTGCATCAAGCCTATAACTTCTGTTTGATCTAGAACATACCTTTTAGAAAGACATTCAGTCTTGATTTAAAGACATCAAGTGATGGAGAATCCAGCACATCCTTAGCTAAGATGTGGCAATGATTAATTAACCTCACTGTTAAAAAGCTGTGTCTGATTTCTAGCCTGAATTTATCTAGCTGTGGCTCCCACCCATTGGCCTTCATAATGTCTTTTTCTGCTATTTAAGCAGCAGAGGGACATGATGGATAAGAATCTACTGTCCGTTATGTCTTTCGCCTACAGGTGCTTGTAGACTATGATCAAGTCACCTCTTAACTTTTTCTTGGACAAATTAAATAGATTTAACTTCCTAAGCCTATCTCTATAATGTATGTTTTCCAGACCTTGACTCATTCTTGCTGCTCTTTTCCTGAATCGTTTCCCATTTTTAACATCCTGTTTGAAGGGTGGACACCAGAACTGAACACAGCATTCAGGCAATGGTCTCACCAATGCCTCCCTACTCCTACTTGATCTATACCAAGGGACTGTGTTTGCCCTGCTAGCTGTAGCACTACACTGGAGCTCATGTTTGCTTGGTTATCTACCATGTGGCCAATACCTTTTTAGTGTCACTGCATTCCAGAATACAGTCCCCCACATTTTGTAAGTGTAGCCTACATTCTTTGTTTCTATATGCATGACCTTGTATTTGGCTGTATTCAAATGTATGTTATTCTAATGAGCCTACCTTACCAAGTGTGCCATATCAGCCAGTTAATTGACCAGTCCCCATCATTACATAGCACTCTGCCAATTTTTTGCACTTCGCCAAGCTCCTCCTGCTGTGACTGGCTAGCCTCCTTCAGCGTAGAGAAGAGCTCCTGGCTGCATACATCTCTGACCTCCGAGTCATCCTCTGCCTCGGGGTTCCCCTCTCCCTCCACATCCTCGTCCAAGATTTCCTCCTCCTGGCTCGGTCCACTCTGGACTGGTATGCGCGCCACCGAAGTATCCATAGTGGCCTTCACTGTGGAGGTGGGGAATCGCACCTGAGTATCGCATCCAGCTCTTTGTAGAACCAGCAGCTCATGGGCGCAGCACCGGAGCAGCGGTTTGCTTCCCGCACCTTGTGATAGGCATTCCACAGCTCCTTCACTTTGACTCTGCACTGCAGTGTGTCCCGGTCATGGCCCCTTTCTGTCATGCATCATGAAATCTGTCCATAGGTATCATAATTCCTATGGCTGGAGCGCAGCTGGGACTGCACTGCCTCATCTCCCCAAATGCTGATGAGGTTGAGCAGCTCAGCATTGCTCCAAGCACAGGATCGCCTGGTGTATGGAGCAGGCATGGTCACCTGGAAAGATGCACTGAGACCACTGAATACGTCACTGAGCAAAGACAAAGGGGAGTTTCAAAATTCCCAAGGAATTTAAAGGGTGGGGCTCACAGTTGGTCACCTAAGGGCAGGGCAGTAGAGTTCAAACCTATGACCAGAGAGGCAAGAACAGGCATTGTGGGACACTTCCCGGAGGCCAATCCCAGCCCTGTAATCAACCAGGGTGTCTACATTGGCACCGCAGTGCTGTAGCCCCAGCGCAGAAAGCTGTACGCCTCTCATTGGGGTGGTTTTTTTTACAGTGCTGCAACTGCGCAGTTTCAGCACACTAAGTGGCTGGGCAGTGTGTACACCTCAGGAGTTACACCTAGGGTGACCAGACAGCAAGTGTGAAAAATCAGGATGGGGTGGGGGGAGGGTAATAGGCACCTATATAAGAAAAAGCCCCAAATATCAGGACTGTCCTTATAAAATTGGGACATCTGGTAACCCTAGTTACTGCACAGAAACTTGCCAGTGTAGACAAGGCCTGACAGCAGAAGCTCTCCTATCAGTGTAGTAAAATCTTCATTGAAGCACTACAGCAGCACAGCTGCACTGCATTTTAAACTGTAAACCAGCCCTGAATTGCTGGAGGTTGCTGCAGTTTGAGAGTCATGGGTGGCAATTTCATTTGGGGGGAAATTAATTAAAGTCTTTCAGGAGAAAAACTAGCCACATGAATGCTTCCTAGGTGGAGAAGGGCATTAGGGAGCAGAGGAGTGGGAGACTAGGAGAAAAGGGAAGGAGGGGTTTTGGGGAGGGAGGATAAATAGGGGTGGATTGTAGGGAAAGCAAAAGAGGGTGGGGGCTCAGGTGAGGGAGGCATGGTACCCACCAGCTCTGCCAGTGAACCCCAGCCCCCTATGGCCCAAACTCTGTCAGCATAGCCCAACCTTCCTGTACCCCAACCACCCTGCAGCTCCCAATTATGCCCATACAACCCAATCTTCCTGTAGCTGCAGCTCTGCCAGTGGACCGCAACCTGCAGTGCACCCTCGGCTCTGCCAGCATACCCCAACCCCCACACCCCAGTCTTCCATTTGTAGACCAGGGAGTGAAGACTTCAGAGAGATGTGTGCCCTGCTTGTAGTGAGGGGGCGGGGGGATGCATTGAATGAGTCAGGGGCATGGCTGGAGAGGTATGCTGAAGCAGGGCTGATGGGCCCAGCTGATGCGTGTGTGGTGGGGGGGAATGGCTGGCTTAGTATGGTTATTGCGGGACATGATACGTACAACTGCGTATATGACTACTAACTCCTAACAGCAGCATATCTTTTCCTGTTTGAAAAAACAAGGACATTCAATGGCAAAAAGAGAAGTTAGTGCAGAGTCAAAGTTGCTTGGTGGTATGTTGCCCCCTTGTTCCCCGCCTTGCAGAATGCTGAGTTGAGCAAAACTCAAACTTCTGAAAAAACAGGCAATGTGGAGTTATGGGTGCCATGCAACCTTAACTCTGCCCTCTTTCAGCAATGCTCCAATGTAACTCATTAACATACATACCACATTACTCAACCAGCTCAAATGTAGACATAGTCTCTGGGTAAGGGTGTTGTAAGAATCTGTAAAGTGGTTCTTAAATTGTACACGTGTGCTATTCTTTCTGGGGAGCTGGCTAAATGTATGAGGATATGCCAGGATCTGGAAGCTGCTGATTTTATAATGCCAAGGGCCAATGTGAATATGCGCTATGTGTATACTGAGGCATTGCTGGTAGAGGTTAGAGGGAAGGTGGGATGGACAATATTTTTTTCTTTTTGTCCTTTAATAGTGTTATATGGAATCCTGTCGGTGAGAATGACTGGGTCGTAAAAGGAAGTGAAGCACTTTCAGCAACTATGGAGTTGGCAGAGCAAAGGTATGTGTGTTAATGGGGCATCTTGGGGCATTGCTGAAAGAGGACAGAGTTAAGGATGCCTGGGCAACCTTAACTGTGTATTTCCTGGTTTTCAGAAGTTTGAGTTTTGCTCAACTCAGAGTTCTGCAAGGGGACAACATACCACCAATCACCCTTACTTAGGCATTAACTTAGTTTTTTGCATATATGTTTTTGAATATAAGTGGTGCAGCAACATTGGCTAATGACAAGCCATGAATCTGTCCCTTTGAATTCTGATATATGTCTCCCAAGGTAAAGGAAGAATAATAACTGAGCTATTTGACTATGACATTCTGGCAAAATCACACACATTTGTAGGAATTTGAATAAAATGAGACTAAGCCTCAATTTGTACACAAAACTCACAGCAGAAATGTCTTTTTAAGTATCCAACTGTCCATTTTCATATGCAGTCTATGCCATTTGTGTGCACAATCATGGTAACTGACCTGCATTTTTGCAGATGGGAGCTCTGACAATGTGGTCCAAAATGTATTAATAATACAGATATTACCAAAACAAAAGAAAGTTAAAATCTTTTACAGTTTACAAAAGAAATTCCTTGCAGTGCTTGTTGACAAAATTAAAACTTTTTCCAAACATTGTCCTTGTCACCATGATTTTATTAACGGAGAGTAAATAAAGGTTGAAAACACATTATGACTTTTTTGAAACATATAGGACACCTATGAAACATATAATAGAAGCTTTACATAAGTTTGTTATAGAAATATGTGAATAATTTGTCTTGTGTGCCTTTAAATAATTGAAACATTCTGCATCATTTGGTAATGAATCTAGACAGTTTCTCTCTACAGTAGCCCTGGGAAAGCAATTGATTAATCAGACAGGAAGGTGTTACTATACCAGTGAGTCCTATCAATTTCATGCAAGATTTCCTCGAGTGTTTGATTAATATTGTAAGATTATCATTCTTAGATCTACAGGGTGGGTTAAATTCTACCCTCAAAGGCATGAACACTCTCCCACTGGCCCTTATGGAGTTGTATGTACTTAACTGAATGAAGATACTGGGCCAGAGTGTTTTTCACATAGAAGTGCCTCAGCATCATTAACGACAACTGAAGGATCCCCATATTTTCCAAGTTTTGCCCCTCACACTCATAAACACCTTTGTGTTCCAAGTCAAAATGCAGTCACCCTTCTGAACAAGGAGGACTGGAGAAACCTCTGAAATCCACTGCTTATTTTTCTGTGGAGTTGGTATTTTGCAATGAGGCACTTCCCACCCTGTAGGGAATGAGCATGCTGCATCCAAAGTGCTTCCATTCTTTCAACTGAGACACCAAAGCTGGGCTTTGATGACTCAGTAATACCCGCAAGCAGCAGCTGCCAAATGGGTTGGTCAACAGAAGGGTGTTTCAGTACTGTTCTGTTAAGCTATAATGGTGATGTAGCCAATCATACAGTTTCCCTAGCATGAAGCAGACTTATAGACTGTAATGCAAAAAGGCAATAAACTAAAAACATCACTATGAATAATTTGTACATGCTGTATTATTTTGTCTTTGTTTCCCCCTCGGTTCATTTCTGGAAAAGCCTGTCATTTACAAGTGCTGTCTAGCTCTAATTTTCGTTAGGACATTCCACATACAAAAATACAATTTGCAAATATAAGAAACTCCTTTACACAGCGATACACACATTTTGACCGACAAAATTAAACAGAGAAAGCGAATACAAATGCTGAACGTCAGACATGGCACTGCTCTGGCACCTTTAGAATTTCTAACTGACTTTCTCTGAATAACAAACCACAGGACGTTTTCTCCACTGTCTTCGGGTGAGCACAGGTATTACTTTCAGGCAAGGTCACTGGGTCCTTTTGTTGTTCCGTGGGGAATTCTTTATAAGCATTTCAAAAGAAAAGAGTTACAAGAAGTTCCTCTTGGACAGTCGCAGAGCTTCCCAATTCTAGCTCCTTTCCTCACTGCACACTGCTCGCCAGCGTCACACTGTAAATAGCAACAAACTCTTAGGCACAGGACAGAGCAAAGCAACCGACATGGTCAAGGTCTCAATTCCTGGTTATTTTTACAGCACCCGGAGGCGCTACATAAATTATTTACTTTCAGCTACTAAAACAATTATCTCAAAGTTCCTCGTTTTTCTTTAGAATTGCTTCAGTTTCCATCTCAGTTGTTTCGAGATAGGGTGAGAAACGTGACATTTACAGCAACAATGTTAAAGACTGAATTTGCCAGCAGTGGGAGCCAAACTAAGGCATCTTATGCTGCAGAAATTAAACAGAAGAGTTATGGAAAGCTGATCAGCTCAATGAACTACAAAGGTATTTTCCCAGGAGAGAAGCAGCGCATTCCCAGGTTGAGAAGAGGGCACAGATCCTGATCTCAGTAACACGGGTGTAAATCTGGAGTGTCTCTACGGAAGCCACTGGACTTACTCCAGATTTACACCCTTATGTCGGTGTATTTGAGATGCGTATCTCCCCGACTGTTATCTTTCAAGTATTTGTCTAATTCAGTTTCATGGTCTAGTCCAATGCTAAGGTGCTCCTGAGTTTTCAGATAAATAGCCTCAGTTGAATTTATCCTGCTGTCCCAATCGCTGTAGTGGGGAGAGCCCATTTTTGGCCTTGGAAACATTTGACAGAACCTGAGGCTTGGCTCGGATCTGAAATCACTCACCATGGGGACTTGGCCGAACTTCTTCTCGTAAACTGGGATCCTTTTACTTTTCAGCTTCTCCAGGACCTCCTGCAGCGCCTCGATCTGCAAACATACAAACGTTCAGCACACCGGGGCGCTGCCCTCCGCGGACACAGCGCCGGGAGCCCCAGCGCCGAGCACCTAGCGCCTTAAGGCAGGCGCCCCGCTCCGTTTCCCGGAGGGCTATCGAGACACAGAGCTGGAGTGTCCAGCTCGCGGGCTACCTGGAGCCCAGATCCAGCGCTGCGGCTGCATGAAATACCCCCAGCTGCTCGGTACCTAGCGAGGGGGTTCGGGGAGGATCCCAGCCTGGGCTCCACCAGCCCTCGCCTCCCCGGGAGCCGTGCACATGGCTCGGCTGAGCTCCCCTGTGGGCGGGCACCTACCAGCTCTTTCTCGTGGGACGTGTCCTCCATGGTGGGGTAAAGGTCCAGGGCGCGAGGCTGCAGCTCCGGCTCCTCCTGGCCGCGGGCCCCGAGAAGCAGCACGAAGGTGGCGCTCAGGAGAGCGAGAAGCCGGGCGCTCTCCATGGTGCTGAAGCGCCGCGGAGCCGCCGGGCCCCTTCTTTATAGAGCGCGCGGGAGGTGGGGGAGGGGGCACCTGTTGACAGAGCCCTTGCACCGCGCTACGTCAATGGCCCCCGCCCCGGACTTAGGCGCTGGCAGCGGGATCCGGTGGAAGAGGCTCCTGGTTGCAGGCAGTGACCTCAGCCTCCAGCAGGGCAGGGAAAGGGGACAGGAGCTTAGGGCAAGCGAATGAGCAGCTGCCTTAAACAGCAACAAGCCGATGTGTGCGCGAAGGGGCTGATCCCCCCGAGCTATATGAGTTACCTCCTGACCCCTGGAGCCCCGGGGGAAAGCGGAGCGGGGGTGTGGGAAGGGAATTGGACGTTGGGTTTTTCCGCTGAAGGAAAATTCAGATTTTTCAAAATATTTGTCAAAGTCCGTGGGTGGCTAAAGCAGCAGGCCCGTGTTAACGGCTCGGGGTTCCTGCCCACTAGTAGAACTACCCATGAAAGCTCTCATGTAATCGTAATACATACATGCTGCACAGAGCTTGTGTGTTGGTGCGGCTTTTATTCAAACACACTAGTCAAATACTCGTCAACACCTTACTATTTGGTGAATTCCATCATTGTTTAGGGAATAGCTTATTCAACCAATGTTTCAAGTATCGACCTGCTTCAAGAGTCAATGCTGTTGAAAGAATACATCAACATAAAGTTATGTTTTATATGTTCCTTGTCCCTTACGCTAACTGCTCACCTCTAGTTTTAGTAATCTAATTTCTAAGATCACATTCCACATAGCGATAGATGAAACATTGACTAGCTGAGCAGCAAGGATAGGGGGAAATGGCAACTGATCAGAGTGAAAAACTAATGCAGCTCTTGAAGAGCTCTGTGTAAGCGCCAAAGCTTGTCTGTCTCACCAACAGAAGTTGGTCCAATAAAATAAATTACCTCACCCACCTTCTCTCTAATATCCTGAAATGAATGGGGCTACAATAACACTGCAGAACACAATCCCATTTTATTGACAGGAACAGAGGCACAATGACAATGTCACTGTTGGTGCCAATTTGAGACACTTAGGACCTGATTTTTCAGAGTACTTAGCATTTTATAACACTTATGTTCAAAGTCAACCCAGCTATTGTCTTAAATTGCAGCTGTGTGCATGCTCAGCATTTGTGCAAATCAGATCCCAAGGTCTTGAGTTGAACAGCCATAAACAAGGAACATGCAATCAGTGAAAAGTTTAGTTTAAGTGACTTGACTGTCCAGCATCACATAGCAACTCTGTGGCAGAGGCAGAGATAGAATCCAATTCTCCAGACCAGCATTCAACTGCCTTACCCATAAGACCATCCTTTCTCTTCTTGCAGCCCCTGCATCATTCACTACACATCTTCTAACTTCGGCAACAAAAGAGGCAGGGATCCTATAGCCAAATGCCTCCATCACTACTCAACCCTGATTCATCTCCAGAGGATGATCTATCAGCACACTGAATGAGACAGGGATCCTGTGGAAAAAATAGTATGTAATCATATAAAGGTCATATCATAATGCATATATACAAGGGGGCCAAACTAAAGTTGCATGAGCAACCTTAATTCAAGCAATTCCTAACTTTTAATTGACTTTGCAACCTTAATCTTTTAGTGTAGTTTTGTGTGTGAGATATTATTAGTGGCCAGAGACTCCAGTCAGTCTCAGGGCTCCATTTTTCTACAAGTCCCAAGATAGCCTAGGAAGATGTGTGTAGGGGCCTGGACTAGATGACCTAGCAAGGTCCCTTCCAGTCCTACAATTCTACGAGTCTATGTGCCCTGCCACAAAGAGCTCACACCAAGAAAAGAAGCAACATGGTACATGTGTGGTAGGGGAGAAGGCTACAATTTTAAAGGATATTTGCTTTTTTCTGTTTGTTTTGAATATATAAATAATTTCCTCTACCCCTGACTGCCTCTCAACACAGTCTTCATTAATTGGCTGACTTCTTGTAGGATCTGCAGCAGACATGAGGATCCAGAATATGGCTAGCACCTTGCCTATACCACTCCTGGGCGGGCATTCCCTGCACTAGCACATCAGCAGTTATAGCTTCTAAGAGGGTTTTGTGGGGTTGGGACATTGATTGTTGGTTGGAATGGGAAAGCTAAAGCCTGGTCTACACTACACGGTTAAGTCCACACAAGGCAGCTTATGTCAACCTAACTGTGGATGTGTCTACACTTAAATTTCACTCCTGATGACATAAATGCCCTGCTACACCAACACAATAACACCACCTCCCTGAATGGCATAGAGTTAAGGTCAACGTAGTTAGCTCAACACAGTGTCAGTATAGATACAGAGTTACTTAAATGGACTGCTACTGGCATGCAGGAGGTGTCCCACAATGCCCCCACCCTGGCCTCTCTGGTCACTGTTGGGAACTCTATTGCCCAGTGGCCAGGTGACCAGGGAACCACTCCTCCCCTTTAATGCCTCGCAAATTTTTGAAGTTTCTTTTCCTGATTTCCCAGCTTATGGAGCACACCTAGCAACTGCCCAGCTGACCATGCCAACTCCACGCTGAAGAAGCACTGCTACCTGTAGTACACAAGAGGTGTTGGATCTCCTCGGTCTGCGGAGAGAAGAGGCTGTGCAGGCACGGCTCCAATCCAGCCATAGAAATGTCAACATCTATGAGCAGATTGCTCAGAGCATGGAGGAGAAAGGCTACAAGAGGGACCAGCAGCAGTGCCGCTTAAAAGTCAAGGAGCTGCAGCAGGTGTACCAGAAGGAAAAGGAGACCAGCAATCAATCTGATGCAGAGCTGCAGACCTGCTGCGGAGACCTCACCACCACCCCTATCAACCCCATGGATACTTCGGAGGAGCTTGAGTCACAGGCCCTGCACCATAAACAGGAAGGAAGAGGAGTATTGGGACAGGTGGCCTAAGGCATCCAGATGTGCAGTGAGCCAGGACATGTTTTTGACCCCACCGCAGCCCAGCCAGTCCCAACAGTTGAGCGTGGGCGAGCCTGATGCTGGGGAAGGATGCAGCTTGCTTTTAAATTACAGGGATAGAACTCAAAGTAGCAGGTCACATCTGTTGATTACTGTTTTTACTTGTACCAGAAGAAGTAGTGAAACAACCAAGGGGTACAGTTCCTATCTCCTTTCCACAGTTTATGTGCACCAGGATGTCCGTGAATCCTCCATAGAGATCTCAATGAAACTTTCATGGAGGTAGTCTGCAATCTTCTGCTAAAGGTTTCTAGGGAGGGCTGTCTTATTTCTTCTGCCATGGTAGGACACTTTCCTATGCCACTAAGCGATTACTTCAGCCGGCACCATTGGAGTATACCTGCTAGCAGTATATGGTCCCAGGAGGCACTGTGACAACAGCAGAAGCTCTGTCTCTGTCATCCTCAGGCGTGAGATATCAGCCGAAATCACCATTGCCCATAAAAAACTGTGCCTTTATTCAGTTCCTTTGACGTATACACATACACTCAGGCCTGTGAGCTATTCCCTCCTCATTTTTCCAACACCACCCACGCTTACAACTGGTGTGGATGAAGGGGAGTGAGTTCAGCATCCTAAGTTTCAATTTCTGTCATGAATACACTGACCTCTGTTTGATGCATCATTAGCTGCTGGCGTTGTTGCTTTGAAGGTCTCCCTCTCCACACCAGTGGAATGCCTGAAACAAATGAGGAGGAAGATGAAGACTCAGGATGATGTGTTCCAGGAGATCCTGCAAGCCAGTGCTGCATCAGAGAACTAGCACAGGGCTTGGAGGTTCACCCTTGCCGACAGCATGGACAGGGATAGAGTGAAGAGGAGAAAGGCACAAGAAAAGGAGAGGGATGTGCAGCAGGAGATGCTTGCCCTTTTCGGGCAGCAAACAGAGATGCTTCAGACTCTGGTGGACCTGTATGTTCAACAGTCTTAGACTCACCTCCCTCTGCAGCCCATAGAGAATTCCATATCAGAAGCTCCTTGCACCCCACCCCACTCAACCTTCCAAATGGCATCAGAGATTTCTGCACTACCCCCAACCATGCTACCCCAGGGGACATTAAGTGCCCAGACACTTACCTGTGAAAGACATGGTTGGTGTATGTGCATCTGAAATGGAAATAACTGTTCTTTCCGCTTCATAAATTCTCTTCTTTTAATTCATCAAATTTTATTAAGTTATAATTTTTATTTTATTTTATAAAATGTTATATTTTGAAACATAATTCATCTTTATTAGTTTACAACATATGCGGGCTGGTACTGAGTAGGTATAACACCCACCAATTTCCTATAACTTCATTTTATAAGTTCTATAACAACAGCATACACAGACAATATTAATTGGTGCACTGGCAATGTTACACACACACACACACACACACCCTCACTGCAAGGTTCATACTGGTCTGAAAAAGAGCAAGGCCAGGTAGAGCGCACTCTACAGCAACACACACTACTCTGGCTCACTATTAAAATGATCTTTCAAAGCCTCCCTGAGCCGTTAAGCTCTTCTTATAGTCCTGGAATCTGGCTGTTCACAATCAGCAGACAGCTGGTGAACTAAAATCCCTGCTTGCAGCTTTCTGAACATCCTGTGTTCTTAAAGATGTGCATATTCTGTACCTACCCTGACTAGCCCACATTGATGTCGGGAAAGCATCCCCAGTGATCCACCTGCACTTGTATTACATGGAAAAGTAGTAGTTTCTGTTGATGTACTCTGCAGCAAGCAGGTCTGGTGCTAAAATAGGGATACACATGCTATCTATCACCCCGCCACAATTTAAGAAGCCCACTGCTGCAAAACCATCCACTATGTCCTACACATTGCCCAGAGTCAGAGTCCTGTATAGCAGGAGGTGATTAATGGCCCTGTACACTTGCATCACACCAACCCCAGCAGTCAATTTCCCAACTCCAAATTGATTCCTGGCTGATCAGTAGCAATCTGACATTGCAAGTTTCCCACAGTGCAATTGCCACTCACGTCTCAACTGTCCATGCAGCTGTCATTTTGGTGGCCCTGTGCTGGAGCGAGTTCAGCATACAGATCCAGGAATGTGGTCTTGCACATCCGAAA